CCCCCAGGACAGGATGGCAGAGACCCTGGGGGGTTTTCACCTTCCCCTGCAGCATGGGGCATGGGTCACCTGCTGGTTTGAGTAAATGGTAGATTCTCTGTAACTTGACGACTTTAAATCGAGATTTGAGGACTTCGTAACTCAGCCAGAGGTTATGAGTCTGTTCTGTGGTAGATGGGGTTCTTGACCTGAAATGTGCAGGAGATCAGACTAGATGATCATGACGGTCCCTCCTGGCCTTTAAGTCTGAGTCTCTTACTATGCGTATGTACAGTGCCTAGCACGGAGGTGTTAAACACCTGGCCCGTGCCAGATCCAGCCCACTCAATGTATTTATGAACCCTCCACCCCATGGCATATTCAGATTCTGTAGAATCTAACCTTTTGTTTTATTTTATTAAGTTTCTAAACTTCATGGCGGAGAAGTTAGGCTTTCAAATGCTAAGCACGTGTAACTGTTACAAGTGCTATTTTCTTGGTCTGCAGGCAGGTGGAAACAGAAGCTCTGGAAGTGTGAACTCCCCCTCCCCCAGTATTCTCATTGTGATGTTCATCTGCCTCACGTCAGCATTATTAACTATTTCATTGCTGATCATTTTATCAAATGGGATGGGAAACTGGGTTGGGGTGAAGCCCATGGAGGGACTTGGGAGTTGCTATAGTAGAGAACATACAGAGGAAAGAGAGGAGGAGAGAGACGAAGAGAGAGAAGGGGGAAAGAGGCAGAGAAAGCTGCATGGGGAAGGAAGAAAAAGGAAGAGCAGACTTAGCTGTGGTTATCCAGGTGAGGATACTTTGTCACTGAGCAATAATGATAGCTAAAAGTTTAGTTAATACATAAGGACCATATTCTGTCCTTGATCTTTGCTACCAAACGCTCATTGAAATCAATGGGAATTCAGAAGATTGAAGGGAATTTGTCATCCTAAATGTATGCCATGGCCATCATTAAAAATGGAGTTTTGCTCTCTGCAAAATTGAATTTGACACCCTGAGCTAATGCAATGGGTCCCTGATCTCACCTCGATCTCTAGGCTCTACTGCAGGACAAATAAATCATAATAATAATTAATAGCACTTTTTCTGTGATTTTTGTATGATGTGAAATTCTTAACACAGCAACGGTTATTTTCTAGGAAGCGCGGGACGTACTTTACTTTGTGGGAGAGGGAAGATTCTTTTACATACCGTTGGCACTATGGTCCCTGTGATCCATGAATGTCTTGGCTGTAAAAACATAAATGTATCTTAATGAAATACTATTATATTCTAATATTCTGATATACCATTGTTGGTATTTAAATATTGTAAGTTGCTAGCGATATTCTAAGGCCGTTTGCTAAAATGATCGTACTCTTATCAAATGTTCTGAATGTTCAAAATTACCATGATGAGGTGATCAGATTATAAATACATATTAAACAGTTGCCCCTGTAAATAAACTAGAAGAAAGAGAATATTTTCCCCTCAGGCTGATTCAAGTTTGAAAATGTCAGTAGATGCAAACAGCTCCCCCAAAGCCTTACTTGAGAAAATTACAGTAGATGAGTAATGACACGGTCATTAGTAACTGCCAGGAACCAGAGAAAAATCAGATTTTCAGGGTTGGCGCTATAAAATTCTGGCCAAAGTAGAACCGCATTTACACATACTGTATATTTGTACCCTTTGCTAAAAAAAGCATATATGAAAGCTTACTGGTCCTCCTGTTCTTCTTTTTGCGGATACAGACTAACACGGCTGCTACTCTGAAACTGGTTTATTAGTTTGCCAAAGATCTTTCACTCTGAATACAGTAAATGTTACATGTCTCTTTGTTT